ATTCAACTAAAAAATATGGAAGACAAGGACTTTTTCTTATTCCCCACTATTTTCCTAAGGCCCTAAAGCAGAACCAAATGCACAACCTGAGATCAAGACACTTACAGCTGAATGGAAGATATTGGAAATATCTCTGAGTCACTGGGAGATAAGATCACAAAATAATGTTAATTAATACAACTTGGGTCAAAAGTATATTAAAGAATGACAAGAATAAATTTTCTTTTTAGAACTAAAATTCATCTACTTAACATTTACCTATTTATAAGAAGCAATTGATAAATTTATTCTTCTCCATTTTATTTGACATTTTGATATAACATCAAAAAAAGTAGCACATAATATTGGAGGTTCAAAAGTATTTCAAGCAATGGCTGCATAATTCCAGGAAGTACAGCTCCATCATAAATACTCTGAAGAAAAGCATTTTACCTGCCTTTTAAAAAATTATTTTAGTTGGGCATGATGGTGCACATCTATAATCCCAGTGACTCAGGAGACTGAGGCAGGAGGATCACAATTTCAAAGCCAGCCTCAGCAACTTGGTGAGGTCCTAAGCAACCTAGCAAGACCCTGTCTCAACCTAGAAAAAAAAAGTGGTTGGGGATTGGTCCAGTGATTAAGCATCCTAGGTTCAATTTCCGGTACAAAAAAAACACAAAAAACACAAAACAAAAAACAAAAAACTTTTTAAAAAATCTGCCTCGTTTCATAGTCTCATCAGAATATCACTTCAACATAAGTTTCCAGCATAAATCTGTATGTAATTTACAATGTTAAATGAAATATTGTCCTGCAAGAGATCTCAAAATACTGTTTACTAGAATAATGCTACTCCAAGAGTTAAACTGACTATTCCAAGACACTATAATTCTACTATGACCTGAAGTCATAGTTATTTTGTCAATGCATATGAGGAAATGAGGTGATTCTACATTCCAGTGTTTCCTAAATATTACTTTAATGTATCCTAGTGAATGTAATTCTGAACCAAGCAGGTTAACTGAACATTGCACAGAATGGTTCTATTCATTTGCTTGTGCTTAAGAATGGAAATTCTTCAATGCCAAATTTTTTAAATTCATGTTTTTCCTTATCCTGGCTAACATACAGACATAAATATATACATGAATATATACTATAATTCTTATTTTCCTTAATTTTACATCTCTACTTTTCCTCTTGAAAATAAATGAAAAACCTCCTTCTATAAAAAGTTTGCTAAAATAATTACGGATAGGGCTGGGGTTGTGGCTCATTGGTTGAGTGCTTGTCTCGCATGTGTGAGGCACTGGGTTCAATCCTCAGCACCACACAATCAATCAATCAAAAAATGTGTTGTGTCTATCTACAACTAAAATAAAAATAAATCATGTATATACCCACACCCCTGGTTTCTCAATCCCTTAAAAGTAAAGTCTATCTTTTTAGCAATGTCATTATGGAGTACTGAGAATTATTAAGGATTAATGTAGTTCCACAAATGTATAAATGACCAGCACACATGTTCGTCTTAAGAGAGCTGAGGAACTATGAATAAGGAATGGGGCTATATCTCAATGACAGAACATTTATAAGCTTCTCCCATGAAGCAGTTTCTATCATTTCCTTTTGATACTATTTATCAGAAAAGAGCACTTTCATAGAGTAAGCAATGAAATAAAGGATCTAGGTAGAACTCCTTTAAATAATATAAACAAACCTTTTAAAAAACAGAGAAAACAATTTCCTTAGGCTAAATACGATTTAAATTAACTGGCACAAGTAAACCACATCTTCAAACTTAATTCTGAAGGACACTTAGTGTACTTCAGCTGACACTTATGTCCTGAGGAGATGATTTCATAAACCAGTGAGCTGACAGAATGGGCCTGCCTTAGTTCTTTACCTAGATATTTAAAAACCAATAATGTTTTGAGAAAAGTTAAAAACTCAGGTTCATTTTTAAAACATTTCTGACTCACCGTGGTCTTTATTAAATACCAACTATTCCTTCTCACTCAACTCCTGGGACAATCATAATCCCAGCCTCCACATCCAAGTATTTCCCTCATTTCAAAACAACTTTCCACATAAGTACATTTCAAATTGCTCAAATAACTATTTGTCTTTTATTCTTTATAAATGTTAATTTCAGAGGCAAAAACAAATAAATAAAGGAGGGCATCTGTTTCTAAGGAGTTAGCAATTTAAGGGTGAGGAATGAGGAGACCGAAGAACATTGGTTACAATAATACATATAAAGTGCTTTATGGGTTATCAAACACTACCACATTATCTCTTCTGAGCAGCTCACCGGTGCACTGACAACTGAGCAGTGGAGCTGGGTAGACAGAAAGGAACTGCCCACAATTATATAAAGGACACAATAACTACAGAAAAAGGAAACATTTTTCTCCTTTGTCCTAAGAACTCCACAGAGCTATACCTTGGAAAGGAAAAGGATTCCAAAGCCAAGGGCCCTTAAACAAATATACCCTTCTCCTAAACTTGGGAGAAATCAGCACTGAAATTCTAGTTAATGTTACTGTAGAGCTTCATAGAAGGAATTCTTTATTTGAGAAATAACCAATGCAGAGATTAAAAGCAATGGATACAGCATACATTTCTTTCACACCTACGTCCTTCCACCACTTCACTATCCCTACCACAGTCTAGATAGATGTAATAGTTAATACTGACTGTTCACAGCTTATTCTCTGCTGATGGGTCCCTTTATTCCTTTAGTATATATTAAGGTGACTTTCCTAAGGATCCCTAAGTATTAGTAACTCTGAAAGAAAAAACGTTAAGACCTAGATTAATTGTTTTATACCAAAGTATAAATGACCCTGTAATTAACAATGTTTTCTGACATTTAGAGTGCATAAGACTATCTCCTTGGCACTCCATTTGCCACTCAAATAGTTTAACTGCATGCCAAAGAACCTGAATGCTGACACTAGATCAAATTAATCTACAAGCACTAAAAGATTTGCTACAGTACATCTGAAACAATGACTGCACTTTACAAATTAACTGGGACACCACTTTCATCCACTCTCCATTAAAAGTTAGTTTATAAAAAAGTAATTCCTTTACACCCAACGTATACTTCACTTGGGCACTCATCAATGTCACCAACGCCATCCCCCACATAATCACCAAGTCCCTCATCATTAACCCTCATTATCTGCCCAGCTTCAGTAATAATTTACTATATAACTTCTTCCTCTCCTCCTCACCTCCACCAGGTCCTACTTCCACTCCCTCTCTACATCTATTAGAATCATCACATATTCTTACCTAGATAATTTTATACATTGCTTGATTTTCATGTTTCAGAGGTTTAACTGCACTGTTTCTAGAACTACCCATTTCATATAGTAGTAAAGTCACACCTTGTCCAGGAATGGTCCCTAACAAACCCGCAATGATGGCAATGACAGAGGGGCTGCCTTCTCAGTCTGGGCTGCTTAGACCCAGCAGCCATTTCTCTTGCACCCACACCCAGGGACACAGACACTTTCTTCCCTTGGCAGCTGCTCTGCCCACTCTGCTCCCCTCTGACAGCCAAGTGGGATGCCCAGGTTTCAACACCTACTTCTGATAATGGCCAGGGCCTTTTGTGGTTTGCAGGCTTGACTACCAACCTCTACAAGGAAGCACTAGGTGTGAAAGCTTGGGGCACTTAGAATTCTCACAGCTGTGGTCTTTGGATTGGTAGCTTCTGTGCCCTACCACCTATCAGGCTTGGCTTAACAAGCCTTTCCCTTCCTTAAATAAATGTAATCTAAAGCAGTGATTCTAGACTCTCAGACCTTAGGAGCCAGTAAAAGGAAGAGGATAAATGACTCCAGATAAGTTTTTTTTTTTTAGCCTAGTAAAGGATATTAAAAACAAATAAAACCTTTGCATTTATATTTTTAAAAATCCATCCTTCAAACTATAATAAATTTATAGGGCTTGGGTTGTGGCTCAGAGGTAGAGCGCTTGCCTAGCATGTGTGAGGCACTGGGCTCCACCCTCAGTACCACATAAAATAAAAAATTAAAGATAGTGTGTCCACTTATAACTAAAAAATAAATATAAAAAAAAATAAAAATAAATTTATCTGTATTAAAAATCTCACTATTCTTTCATACTCATTTTGCTATAGTGAAATTAAAATAAGTTACATTAAGGAGGTGGCACTGGGGAATAATAACTTAACCCAGCCCCACTTTCAGTCATAGCTAGAAGATATAATAACCTCTGCAGCTCAACTATACAGTTCTAAACTCATCCACAGCAATCCCCACTTTCCAAAATGCATGGAACAAATACTGTGCCTAAAAATAGAAGAAAGCTGGAGCCTGAAGCCCTGGGATACCTGCAGTCCTCTGGGTCTAGCAACTAAGCCTGTTAGTAACAGCAGATTCTGAAGGAGACAGAGGCCACTTCATTTAGTCACTAATTACTGCTAGTAGTAAGAAAGCAAGAAGTATAGTTTAATACCTTCAAGAAATAAATTAGGCTATAATGCAGAATTAAAAATCTATAATATGAAATCTAAATATTTCAAATCCCAAATCATATATGTATTTGCTTGTCCTTAATAAAGAACAGCTGGGCAACAAGGCTAGCTCCTCATTAGTAAAACTAGGCCAGAAAGGTGGCAGAAAATCTCAAAGTGTGCACATCCCCCAAAATTTATTACTAAAAGCTAAAGCTATTTAAGATTAAAATTTTAAAAGCCAAAGGCTTTCTTTCTGCCCCAGTTAATATATACATAACAGCTCAAAAACCATTCTTAAAAATACCCTTAGCATACTTTCATATGGTACATAAACCTGCAGTAGGAGATCTTAATACAAATATAAAGGTGGGTCATTTCCTCCCTTTACAAGGCATCGGTATTTTATGAATGTCATTACTTGAAAGTGGGGCGGGGGGTGGGGGCAGAATCAAAGCAATGGATTGACATGAGAAAGCGCAATATCATATTAAAAACTTTTAATAAATGAAAGTATTTTACTTACGATGTTCCTTGCTGAGAATTAGGGTGAGTTTTTGAAGGTGCATCATATTGTTCTGTGGAGAGGGAGACATCATCAGAGCAGCACAGTGACACACAGTTATGAGATTAGTTGTAAATTCCCTTTTTGCCCCTTCCTCTCTTTCACCTATAAATTCCGTCCACTAGAGTACTATCCATGGCACTTAGTATAATTTCACCATTATAACATTTATGTTGCTTTTAGAGAGAAGGCTTGCGCAGAGAGCAGGATGGGGGGAAAAAAACCAACTAAATAGAAGAAAAACACTCTGGAACGCAGTGTATGCATATCTTCCCATGTTGCCAGGAACTGTCCTCAGTGTGGGAGATTTTTCTGCTCCTGATGACAGCTGATTGAAGCCTATGGCAGCAGGGCTGCTCTCCACCCTCATGTAGCTTGATTCTCATATCTATCAGTGATTGGATAGCTTTCCTTTTAGAGCCTCCGTCCTTGCCTGATTAAGGTGCTCCCATTCCACCTGTCCCTCCATTATTCGCTCCTATGCCCCAACTCATTCACTCACCCTCTATTTATAGACTACCCACTAGACATCAATAGGTCTGAGGCATCTGGTCTAGTCCTCAGTGAGCTTACAGTTGACTTCAGGGCATGAAAAGATGGACAAATACCCACACTCTTAGGCAGTATGAGTTAAGTACACTAATCAGTTGCAAAAATTTACTGTCAATAGTCACTCTATTGATATTAACCAACCAAGAAAAATTAAAAGAAAGAATAAAATGGAGTGTGTACTAAGTCACAGGTGGGATGCTCACAGAATGATCACAGGAGGCCTTCAGGCAGAAGGGGTAAACATGTGTAAAGAAGTGGGAGGAGTTAAAACGATCCAGATTTGCAAATGGTAAGGCTGAGTATAGAATCTGTGGTGGACAGCACTAGAAGACAGGCAAGAGTCAGATTTCAGAGTGCTCTGCATGCCAGGATGGGGAGTTGTAGCTTTATTACTTGGGCAACAAGATGCCATCAATGATCTAAACAGGGATATGACACAGCAGTGCGTCAGAATGAGTAACCCTGCAGCGCTACCTGGTAAAGCTAGAAGGGAGAAGGAAGTGTCCAGTGTGGAGGCAACAAACCAGTTGGAAGGTAGCCGTTATTTGTCTAGACATGAGGTAACAGGAAGCAGAAACAGAACTGAAGTGGAAAAGAAAAATGGGTTCCTTTTAGTCAGGGGTGAGTGATTCTTCCCAAAAATGCCTTAGAGAGACCTTTCTACATTTGCACTTAATCACTTCATCCTCCGGGTGGCAGCAGCTCTTATGTGGTATTTTCAAATTGTCTTCCCTTCTGTCTAGACAGCTTGGATCAGGAATACAAATCAGAGGGATGAAAATCACTCTTCAGGCCATTCACCCAGACTCCCACATAGTCACCCTGATTGCAATCCATGCATCACAGGTTCTAGGCAGCCTTAAGCAGCCATGTTTGCAAACACAGTCATAAACAGTGGGACAAACATATAAACTTCCTATATTGTTCCCCCTTATCATGTACCAATACCATAAGATCATTGTTGAAGAAACCTGAATTCAGTCTCGGCTTCCTTTAAGAAATATAATATGTATTTTCTACTCTTCATTTTAATACCTCATCCCCTCTTCATCCAACAAACAAGATACCATTTTTCCAGACCGCAGAGGCCACATTCTCAAAAAGATAAACAAACCCCCAGAATACCAAGAGGCAAAGTGGGAAACCCCATGAAAGATCTGGCACAAGCAGCTGGTGAGTCAATACCTAGAGGAGACCCTTCAGTGCCTGCCAACCTCTCATCAGAATAACAAGGGATCAGCCCATACCACTGCCCTGACTGAAAAGGTGATTCATCCCTGATCAAGAAAGTGCTTACAAGTATTTTCAAACAATTCAATGGATTTAAGGTTCTTTCTAAAGCAAGACTCAGCAAGCACACAGGCCATGAGCAACCAACCCAGTAGGGGGCATATAATGTGCATGAGCAGTCCTAGCAGATGGAGGGGAAGCAAGAGGTAAAGAGGCACATAGCAACCCTATGCACAGTTGGGTTGGCATTCCACCTTCAGACCTACGCCATTGCACTGGGCATCTATCCTTAGAGTGGCTGCCAAAATGCTGAGAAAAAAAGACATCCCAATTTTCCCAAGCAGCCATAAAGTTTAGCTAATTTTACCTTGCTATTTATACAATAATATTGAGGTAAGAGAGTCAGCTTTATTTCCCCACATTTGGGGGAAATTTTATAAGTTCTTTTGTGAGATCTTATTCCATATCTCTAGAGCAGAGAACAACAATCCTTTCAAAAGTCAGATAATAAATATAGTATTTTAGGTGCTATGCCTTGTAGAATAATTAAGTGGGAAGGGATATGGCCCAATAAAACTTTGTTTACAAAAAATAACTGCAGGGCAGATCTGACTCACAAGCTTAGTTTGTTCATTCTTGTTCAGAGGAAGGTTATTCTGTTTCTTGCTTTCCTAATCCTTTTTTTTCCCCCTCCTCATATCCTTGCAACTCAAACAATAAAATCATGAAGGAAAAAAATATAAGAGCCAGAAAAGAAAGAAACAAGGAGACGTGAAGAAAGAATCGCCACTATAGACATCCATGAGCTCCCTTCCTTCAACAGGCACACCCGTCTCCTACACCCCACATGTGGCCCCTTGGTCCTCTGAAGACCAGCACCCCACCCCATTAGCAACGACCACATCTTGCAGCCCGTTGTCTTCACCTGTGCAAGTGTCTTACTGCCTTTACAATATTCTGATGAACTAAAGGATTGCAAATATCCTAGTCATCTTTGTAAGGCTAGACATGCCTTGTGTATGCTCAGGACACCAAGAATTTGATGTGAGGGGTTACTGTAGACCAAAAAAAAAAAAACCCTGGACTATTTAGTTTCCTTCTTTTTCCTACTAAGTTATCAAGTATTTACAATCCATAAAAAAGGGGACCAAGAAAAAAATTTCATGACCAAAAGACACACAAGGGATAGAAAAGTTAGTTGTATGCTACTAACTCTTCCAAAAATCTCTTATGTTAAAAACACAAAAATCACACAAAATACCCTAGCCTATTCTTGAATACAATTCCTGAGTTACAATACTTTGAGCGTCATGTTCAAGACAATTTTCATGTGTCCTATAATACCAAATTATATTTGTTTAGTATTTTACTATAACATCTTCATTAACTCTTTGCAATAATCTAAAATTCCACCTAAAGCCCAGCTTAATGTTTGCTCTCCTTTCATATTCTTTCCATATTAGAAGACCTTATTTCTGCTGGGGTATATGTTACTAATGGTTTCATATTAAATGAACAAAATTCTGTCCTGTTCTCCAATGCAGTAAACAATTTCACACATTTACTTACTTTGGTTTTGGGTTGCAGAACTGATATGCTGAGAATCCTAAAAACAAAACAAAACACTACTTATTAAAATATTAAGGTTGCTTATAAATCTAAGAATAAAACCATATAGATTTCAAAACTGAAAAGATAGTCAACTTTCAAATATTTGGAAAAATGCAAAGAATAGTGCAGAGGATATCCATACTACCCACCACATATATTCTATAATTAATATTTCACTATAACCCCTACAGCTATCTATCCCTCTCCTTAATCAATCTTATTTTTTATGCATAGGTTGCAAACACTGATTAATCTGTTTTATATAAAATAGCTCCTAATGCTTTTCTTTCCTTGAGTTTATTTTTCTTTTGACATTGAGCAAAGATATTTTTACAGAGCTTAGAGCTTTATTTTAAAAGCAGTAATAATGAATCATCTTTTTTATAAAAGAATCATCATAAATAGGTAATATCTAACTTGTGGTAAATTTGGGTTTGTGTACATAATAAATTCTTTTGAAAAAAGTACCATAGGAAGGAACAGCTGTAAATACATGCATAGTAGGCTGGGAAGAACACAGTTCTGAAGGTGCTACAGCTATAGCCGGAAGGTCATTCACATGTAGAAGCCCAAATCAGGAAAGATGACTGTGTATAATACACTGTTCAAATAATATAATGGAAAAATGTGAGCTGTCAGTTCATTTGCCTATTTTGAAAACCAGCATGAGTGTAGCTGATCATATTAAACATTTAAGAAAATTTAGGAAGTATGAGACATGTAAGATGTGTTCACGTATTTATATCTCTAAGTCTGAACTAGGAATCAGATTGTCTACTCAATTTCCATCTCCATAGGAAGAGAATGTATTGAAAAGTCCAAAGTGCTAGATAAGCTGTATACATAAGCCATAAAGCCCTATGCAAATATACGATGTTCCTCCTAACATAAGTTGGAGGATAAAGTGTTTGAGAGCATAAGGAAGCACTGCAGGGCCAGATATACTGTGATTTTTAACCTAATCTCCAAAGACTTCAACAAATAATACTTCAGAGACATGCCTTGCAGCAATACCTCGCACTTTTCACTGGTGTGGACACCATGCCTGTGTACTTTAAGGAATTACCTTTGTAGGGAAAGGAAACTTGGATGGCTCAGCTGTACTAGGCGTATGTATTGCTGTCAAAGGAGGAGGCCATGAATGGGTCATTTCCTGGAAAGTTTGGAAAGGGAAGAAATGGTAAGTTACAAATAGAACATTCATTTCTACATAAGTTAAATTTTAACTTAATACACAGTGGATTTATGGTAAGTGAAAAGTACATTTGGAGAGGGGAGCAGGTACTGGGGATGAAACCCAGAGGTGTTTTACCACTGAGCTACATCCCCAGACTTTTTTTATTTTGAAACAGAGTCTCACTAAGTTGCTTAGGGCCTCACTAACGTGCTGAGACTGGCCTCGAACTTGCCATCTTCCTGGCTCAGCCTCTGAGTTGCTGATATTGCAAAATGTGTACCACCACACCCTGCTGAAAAGTTCAATCTTGAAAAAGTCATTTACTTTTTTTGAAAACCATTTAAACTGGTTATGTGGAAAAGCTGAAGAACTCCAACTTATAAAACTGAAAAAAAAATCAACTTTGAAAAACAAGTATGTAGATGAATGGAATCAATCCTCTGAATATTGTAATGCACACAAACTGTAACAGGTGCTGGCAGAGTTTATGTAACCGTGAGGATGTTAACAGCAGACTGTGCTGGGCAAACATCTCCACTCTGCTTTCTTTCTCCCTCAACTTCTTTACTGCATTTCCTGGAATTACTGAAGTTCAAAGGAAGAACTTTCCTGTTTGACTTAAGCAAACAAGTAATTCAGGTCACTTGATCCACTTAGAGTTTTAGTGGATTTGACCCTTCCCCGATACACACTATAGCACATAAGAACTTTTTGGAGAAAAGGGCCTTTAAAAATCACCTTCATTTTCCATTAAGAAAAGTGTAATTTTTTTTCTCCTGAATTTCTTGGATGAAGGCAATATTTCTAAAGCTTACAAACCAATATATTTATATTGACATAAATTCTCCTAGGCATATTTGTGAACTTGATTTTGCTTTGCTAACAAACTGGTAGAAAACAGTTATGTCAGATAAAGGGCATGTCTAATCACAAACATACATGGGTGAGCATGTGCACACACACAATTTTTGAAAGGGCTAAAATGGCATTGGAGATCATTAATTCCAACTCCAGCATTTTAAGATGAGAAAACTGAGGTCCAAAATGATTGGGCCAAAACCTCACAGGAAAGCTGAAGGCTGCAGAGCACAGTTTGTAGGCCTCTCTTTCTTACCACATATATTGCAATTGCTGGACAAACTAGCTTAACAATCAACAGGCAACTCTCCACCAGCAAGCTGGTGAGCCAGGGGAGCTGTGGTATCTGATTATGCATCATAACACTCCATTCTTTTCAAATGCTAGCTAACTTCTCTATTTGCACTGATATGCCATCTGATCTTTGCCACAATGGGAGGTGGAGTTTAAGAAAGTACTTTCACCTTCTGCACTTCTTTCCCTGCCTTTCCCCACCACCACTCTGGGTTGCTTATAGCCCCAGGACAGACTAGAGAGACCTTGTGCAGTGATTGAGCAGCATAACTCATGCTGGCTCTGAATAATTTTTGTGGAAAGTGAAATCATGCTCTTATCTGCTGACTGGCCATCTGCTTTGTTCAGTACACAACAGGCGTTCTGTACTAAAACATACTGGAAAGAGTAACAGCTCTGCAGCCAGGGACCTCAAATGGAATTGTAACTCTAACCCAAATCTGCCGTGTCAGCCTGGCAAAGTTGCCTGAATTCTGGGCTCCAGTGCTCAGTAAAGGGTGGACTAGAACGACTTATTTTTTAAAGTATAATAAGGACAGTTTAACTACAGTGCTTGGATATATGACGTACAGAAGGCAGTTAATCAATGAAAAGCATTACAACTTTAATTAAAAGTCCAGTTTTAAAAGAATTTCAATATTGCACCAAGGAGAGATACCTACTGTTTTATTCGTTTGGCAATAGTTTAGGGCATGGAATCACTATAATGCTATAATACAAAACCATGTAATGATTAGTTGAGGAGACATCTGAAAGCATCACCCTTATGTTTTATAAGAGTTTCTTTAGAATCCTGATGTTATCTATGACTTTTAGTCATCAATTATTCCCCAACAATATCCATTGTTGCTCTCAATGCCTAAGGCTGTCCCAGCTATTAAATCAGGCAGTTGGAAAGTACATAAATTCTTTCAGACCCTAAGTGGTTCCCTGGTAGTCTGAAAGAATTTATATACTTCCCTAAATACCTAACTTGCCAAAGGGACTTAGGCATGAGGAGAATTGGGGCCATTACTAGGGAGAGGAAGCTGTCCAGAAAGAACCATGAGACTGAGACTTTGTTCCCTACTTAGTAACAACTTATCACAAAGACTGAGCCAAGGCAGGTGGCACCTTCAAGGCTCAAAGCTGCATCTCTTCTCCTTGCTATTTACTCTCACACTGTCTCGTTCTAGTTGTTCCTCTCATACACCAACTTCTCCCATCCCAAGGCTTCCCCTCCCCCTCAAGGCCACTGTTCGCTGGCCTCTCATATCTCTCACAGCCCCATCACTGTATTATATGTTTTCCTTTCTCACCATGCCTCCAGGAGATCAAGGACTCCATTTGCTTCACTGTGGCATCCCAGTGCCTACAAGAGTATCTGGAGGTTTCACAGATATTTGTTGAATGAATGATAAATAATAATGCTACCATGCATTACGCCAGCTTCACTGGCATGTTGAGCAGATATGGAGACCAAACTACTCTAAGTAGAAAGCAACAGCATTTTCCATATGCCTGCTGAGGGCACGCTGTCCTTTCTGGCCATAGCACACGGACCACCTCCTGGTTACTAGCAGTCTGTCTGCTATCTGCCTACCCTATCAACTTGTAGAAGTGACAGGCCACTTCCCCTTCATTAGAATACTTCCACTCTAAATGTTGCCCTCAGAGAACCAAACAACATCTTCTGTGCTTGACCTTTGCTGTTAACGAAGTATTTGCTGCCTCTAGCACCCATCAGAAAGATCTGCGATTGGATTCCTGACAGTCTTAATAAATTGCTGGTACAAGATAAGAATAGGAAGCTTGAGGCAGGGCATAGTGTCTGGTTCTGCATCAGAGAGAGCTGGTGTGGATCCTAGAGATCATCTGCTAGTCATGAGTGTTCATTGTACCATGAAGAAACTAAAACCCAGCTAGATGTAGGACTTCAATGAGGTTGCAGACATAGGAGGGAACAAATTCACAGCCTCCCCTGTGAAAATTTTGGTCCAAACCTTCTCAGACCTGGCATCGTGTTATTTGCTTTCTCCACTTACAATTGCCAAATGAACACACATACCTTCACTGGAATAAACCACTTACTCTCAAGTGCTTCCAGCTAGGCAAGAACTCATTAAAGTGACGTTGGATAAGAGGGGAGGGAGAGTAGATGGGTTTACTAAATTAAAAATACTTGTCTAATGCTATCATTCCTAAAGAAAAGATGTGATCTGTCTCCCATTAACGAAACATCAAAACCTTCGAGAAGCACGGAAACATTTAAATATGCAGATGATAAACCTGTATTGTTGCAGCTGCTTTTTATACTTCAGTCATTTATTCTTTTTATGACTCACTATAGGAAAGAATTTCAGAAAAAGGGGAGGGAATAGATGATACAAAAACCTGATCAAAGGTAATTTGCTTAATAATCTTACGTGCTGATTGTCAAAATTTTCTAATCCTTAGCAGCTCAAAGTGGATTACTTAAGAGGTAAATTTCACAGAAAACTAACTATATAAGAAGGGACAAAAGATTGTAAAACAAAAGTGATAAAAGTGTTTTCCAATGATCTATTTCACAGGTGACAAAGTAACCAATAGAGTAATCAATATGTTTATTTGCTGGCTGCAGTCACCACCATCAATTAATGAAAAATTAAAGAGATTGGATAGATTTATATTGAGGGGGCAATGAATATTAGAGACTAAAATAGGCAAATATGTCATATCTGTCTTCTAATTTGAAAAAAATTAGAAACCTTATAATGATAAAGAATTATGTCATTTTTACTGATACTTAGAAACCATAAAAGATATACACAAAACTGTTACTACAATGTAACTATATTTGAGTGTTAAAATTCATTTCTAGATTTTCTAGAAATTAAAGTCAAAATAGGTAACATGATAGTTTATGTAGCTCTTCTAAGATAAAAAGAAAGCATGTCAATTCAAGAAGGATGTATTTTTTTTTCCTAGAGTTGAATTCTAGAAAGAATTTGTCATGCTTGTACAAGGAAAACTGAACAAGTGGATAATATATTCAAAGACTCATTTGTAGAAGCAGCACAAATGTTTGGAACAGTCTCAATAAATGAGCAAAAAATTAAAATTAAAAAACCTCTAAGGTAAAACTAAAGATGTTTATTTATTTCCCCTTTTTTGTTTGTTTTGGGGAGTGAAGGGCCTTTAAAATTTCAATGACTCATTCAAAAAAAGGCTGGAGAGGGGCTGGGGATATAACTCAGTTGGTAGCGTGCTTGCCTTGCATGTATAAGGCCCTGGGGTTCCATCCCTAGCACCACCACCACAACAAAAACGGCCAGACATACCAGGTGTCACTAGACCCCAAGATATACAGATCCCACATTGTTTGACCCCTGCTGCCTCCCAGGTGACATCAACCCAGGGGTTTCCTCTCTGAGCTATGACCTGTTCTTCATGGATAACCAGAAAAATGTGAACACTACCATAAAACTCTGGCCCCAATACCCTGCAGTTTGTAAACGTCATTTTAATTAATAAAATCTGTTAGAGAATTCCTAAGTCTCCCTTTGTTACTCTTCTGGTTTATTTGGCGGTTGGAGGCACAAAGGGGAAAAACCTGTTGAAAGAGGGTTGGAAATGGTAGCTGTCCATTAAAGCAATACATGCCTGCTTGCTTACATGTCTCTTCAAATGACAAAAATCAGCTCACCTTTAGAATTTCTTCAACACAATGGACTTCATTGGAGTATGTCTGCTAAAAGTGAAAAGAAGGAAAAGATGAGTAAACAAACAACAGCTAGGAGTGATGATAATGATTGACACTGGTGTCCACAGTAGCACCCAAAGGCTAGCTCACCTCCAGGTCCACATTTCACTAAGAACTTTGCATTCTGGATGAATAAGACCAAAGAGATTCATCTAGCTTGATCTTAGGGAAATGCACAAGGAAACAGTGAGCAGAGACCTCGGCAGACAACTGTGACCCTCAGGTCAAAATTTAATCAATGGAAAAATTGTATATTAAAGAAATAGTACCTAAGTACCTTTAGATGTATAACACATACAGCAGAAATGGAGACAAAATGATTAAAACAGGTTAACTCCAGCTCAAGTTAAATGAATACAAAAATGGCAATCATCTGAACTCCTTAGTAGTTCAATCGAGAATACCCCTTTATTGCCACACACAGTCGTGGACACCTGTAATCCCAGCAACCCAGGAGGCTGAGGTAAAAGGATTGCAACTTTGAGGCCAGCCTCAGCAACTTAATGAGACCCTATCTCAAAATAAGAACTTTTAGGACTGAGGATGTAGCTCAGGGGTAAAACAGCTCTGGGTGCAACCCACAGTACCAAAAAATAATAAAAAAAAAAAAAAGAAGAAGAAACTCTTTATTAGTATTGTTTTTTAATATCCGAACCTACCAAAATTTATTTTAAAGTTAAAAATGTCTCTCACCCTAGTCAGCATTATCACCTTACACACACACACACACACACACACACACACACAAACAAAATTTTCCCAGGAAGCAAACGTATAGGGAAAGGAAAAGACAAGACAAAAAGCAACATTCATACTGTCATGTAGTTGAATTTAATGGACATGTCAAAATTCAACTTCAATTTGATCTGCCTAGGTGTGTGTTTAAAACATTTAAGTTTCCTGGAAATAGCTTTATTCAAATTTTCATACTCTGTTATTGTTGAGGTAGGGCTACGAAGTTTGGAGGTTTAACAAAAAGAATTGAGGGTATCCCTAAAACCTGCACCCACTCAGACATTCTGCATGTGAACAACTAGATCTGCTTTTTGGTTTTCAGAACCATTAAAAGATATCTAACAACTGGACCCAACATTACTGCTCTGTTTTAGCAAAGGTAGAGAAATGAGTGCTGTTTTCATCCAAGGGTAAAACACAACAATATACGTGGTTTTAACATATAATTAGAAAAAATAACAATACATATTGAGATAACTTGACAGAACAGAGTGTATTATTAAATTAACTCTGCTCAAATAGTCCCCTCATTCTACCTATCACTGGAATGAAAATGGTAATCCAATTATAATATGTGGCAATCAATGAAAATAATGAATATACTGAATAGAGGCAAAAATAAGATAAAAATTTATCCACTGTTTCCAAAAGAATGAATGAGAAAACTATACCTTCAAGACACTGAAAAAACTTTTTATCTGATGTTCCTAATAACTCAACTTTTAACCAAGGCTTCATATCGCCAAAGACACATTAAAAAAAAAAAAAAAACAACACACTTATTCCATAGGATGAATCAGGACTGAGGGAATTTTCCTAGAGCTTATCTACAGATAAGCAACATTGACCTTGGGTTCAAGTTAGTTGGTTAAATTACTATGAATTTTCCTAGGAGTCTCATTATGGGAGTAGAAGTGTTTAAAAAGTGGAGCAAGGGTTCTGTTTCAACCACATAAGGCAGTATCATATTTTTAAAAGTCCCAGCCAGAAGAATAGATGAACTCTAGATAGGGCAAAGGGGTGGGAGGGGAAGGGAGGGGGCATGGGGTTAGAAATGATGGTGGAATGTGATGGACATCATTATCCAAACTACATGTATGAAGACAAATGGTGTGAATATACTTTGTATACAAGCAGAGATATAAAGAATTATGCTCTATATATGTAATATGAATTGTAATACATTCCATTGTCATATATAACAAATCAGAATAAAAATAAATTAATTAATTTTTTAAAAAGTCCCAGCCAGATGTGATGGCACACACCTGTGATCCCAGCTATTCGGGAGGTGGGAGGATAACCCATTCAAGGCCAGCCTGATTAACTTAGAAAAAAAACAGTCAAAATAAATTTTTGAAAGGTCTGTAGCTCAGAGTGCTTGCCTAGCATAAAATGAGGTCCTGAATTCAATCTGCAGTACTGAAAAACAAACCACAATAACAACACCAACCAAAAAAAAAAAAAAAAACCCTAAACAATCCTGTTTATAATGCAAATAATTAAAAATGATCAAATGCCCAACAACAGGAGTACAGCTAAAATACATGCCTGCATATAACAATTATGTTATGCAGACTTAGTATGCGATTTTATGGGAAGGTGCTCAAGATAATATACTTTGAACTTTTTTCCTTAGAAATGATTTTGTTTAGGAAAAACTGCTAAAATGCTAACAGGAATTCGATAAGCCCAGATTCCCAAATATTAACATTTGCTTTATATTTTTCTCTACCCATCTTCACATCCATATACACTGAGCCCTCTCCGAGATTAAGTTAGTTACGACCCCTTTACTCTTAAATACTTCTATGCTCATCAAGCCACTTTTTAAGCCTGTAGTTAAAAGAGGGCAGTTACAAGTCTATACAGTACGAGTCCATTTTACCTTCCATTTGTCTGAAATTCACATCTCCATTTTTCTCCCCATCCAAATTAGAGGCAGTTAAACTACAGAATAGGTCTGTCAGGTGTGACTACAGAGAAAGATATATAAGGACAAACTGTCCTTTTAAGAACAACTTGGTATTTCCAAGTTGGCCACTGGAAGGGGAAGTCCCAAGAGGGAAGGAGAGGTTGTTGGAATAACCATGGCATGCTAATCCCATTCTTAAAATCCACATTCCTCATAGGGTTTTTACCTCAATACTGTCACTCCTACAAAGCAGAACCAGGCTCTCCCTTTAACACTGTGACCGAAGAATAAAAAATATAATTGGTCTTGCCAAGTCTCTCTGCATCACAGCTGAATTCAAGAGATGATTTAAAGAAACATCTATAACAGCTGTATGGATCAGGAATCTAGTTACCAGGTCCTTTCTGTCTAGTTCTCCCCCAATGGTATAGACACCAACTCTATTATGACCACAAATTTCATTGCTGTCTCCCACCCTCAATATCTAGGTGGGAGATATGTAGGCCAGGTGGGCTCCCCCCTCTGCCTGTTTGTGGTCACTTCACATATCTGGTTTCCTGTATAGAGACTAACCGCCCAGCAGAGATCTCAATTCCCCAATGGGGTATGGGTTTAACACAGGAACCATAATTCTTCTCAATTTTTAAAAATTATATTCATTCACTAATTCATTTATACTGGCAATTGAACCCTGGGGTACTTTACCACCAAGATACATCCCCAGTCCTAAAAGTTTTTATTTTGAGATAGGGGCTCATTAAGTGGCTGAGGGTCTCGTGGAGCAGTTATTTACTGAATGCATATTGCATTAAACTCTGTACGTAAATTAATTCTTCAATCCAGTTATAAAGTCAATTATTAGCTTAGCAGGGAGGAGAGCTACGACACTAAATGTGCCCATCAACTGTAAGATACATCCCTATTACAGAAGCTTTAGAATGAAATAAAAATGTCTCAGGAATGCTGTAAAAGGCCCAATCTAATTCTCAGATCAACCTTTGTGATACATATTATCTCAGTTTTTAAAACAAGGAGATTGGAATTGCAAGTCTAAGGTAACACAAAAGTTCTGAAGTGGCTAAGCCTTATCCCATCAAACTGACTTTCCAAAAAGCCCAACATTTATGCAGGAGACTAACATATTAGTTTCTTAGGAGGTGGTGTGATTCCAGTCCTCCTATGCATGACCAAAGCCCTATTTCAAAGAGCAACATCTTTCATCTGTTCCTACAAAGAAGCATTTTGGTATTCACATTTGACTACCTGTTACCCCCACAAGTGCTTCAGACCAGAAAACGCAGAAAGCTCGCCTGGGTCTGATTTCTTGCTTCTCTTGGAATGATACTGTGAAACCATAAGGAAATGCATTGATACTAAAATAAAATATGTTGGTAAATGTCTTCTAAGCATGATACAGTGTGTTTATAATAAGCTTAAAAGACCTGGATGGAAAAAATACATCTTACTACTGAGACAGGGAGGTTCTTGGCAATATTATATTTTAAGTCTCTCAAGTTTCAACAGAGCAGCATTTTTATAACAATACTATTCTCAAAAAGGCTTAGTTATCACTAACCAGGAAATATGGCAAGCAGCAGGCAGAAGAAGGAAGCCAAAAGAGCTTAGATCCCAGATCTGGCTCTGCTGCAGACTCACTCTGCAATCCTGGATAAGATTCAACCTCTTTGGGAGCATTTCCTCATTGTGATAAGGGATAATAACACCAAACCTAACCACTTCACAGGGTTGGTGTGAAGGTCAAATGTGAAAACATGGAACTTTAAAAACTGTCAAAAGTATCTGTATCTATGGAATAATACACAGTGCCAACATTAATCATCAAAACATTCTTCAACAGTGTCACAGCTTTTAAAACCAAACCTCAATAGTTTCACTATTTGAAGTTTAACTTAAAAAATTAACATACATGCCTATTTTTCTTCAAATGTGTCACTCATGCATTGCTGTTCCGTTTTTTTATATCTATTTGCTGCTTATCTAGCCCCAAATGCCTGCAACCCTCCCACTGAGCCTTCAGTTTGCAGGTGAAAAACTATCCTTTGGAAAACACTCCCTTACCCCTCAGCTGTCCAGGTGTTCTGATGTTCAGAATGCTGTACTCTGTCATTGTATCATCTCTGCTGCTTCTAGGTTACAAGTTCCATGACAGCAGGGGACAGGCTGACCTCACTGACTCATCAGTCACATGCTGCCTGCCTCACAGATGCCACAAAAAGCATTTGCTGGTAGGTTTTCACCCTCAGAACTCAGAATTCAAAAATAAGTTTCTAACATCTAGGGCTTTAAAACTTAGTAGATGCTACAGGTGTTGGAATTA